TTTGTCAATACTTGCAGTTGGTTAGTGATCTAAATTTTGCTGGTTGGTTATCAAAATTTTGCATCAATTGAACAACTAATATGTACAAATGAAAATAATGTTTTTTAGCAAATTAAAAATAAAGAGGGTTGCAAAAACATGAGTGGTAAATTAAATGAACGAATATGGTGAAAATCGAAATAAAAATATTATAATTAAAAAAAATGGAAAATATGGCATTCTTCTTCTCAGGCTCCAACTACTCTCCGGAAAGTTGTAGCTCAAGCGGTGGTTTATCACATTTTTAAACCGAGGAAAATTGTATACCACAACTCTCAAATAATTTCTCCTTTGATCGTCATCTTTAAGAACATTAACCGAGAGGCACAAGAAACGTTGGAAGGAACTTATGCTGCTTTCGATCTCCGGTAAGCACCAAATCAAACCCAAACCTACTATAGTCTTGTTTTGTATTTTTTTCGGAGATTACTCACCTAACTCTAGGTTATTTTTTTATGTAATTCCTAACTTTCATTAATAATGATATTTACATTTTAGCAAAAAAAAAAAAACATTAACACTTCAGTCTGTTAATGTTTTGTGTTTTGTTCACATTGGAAACTTTGTAGGAATCTTGATTTGAAGTTAATAAATGAGTTTTGATTGTTTAAAAGAAGCAAGAATATGTTTATTTTTATTGATGAATGTCAAGCCAAAATAAAATTAACGATGGAGTTTATAGTATTTTTTGGTGCAAAGATATATACGTCTACTGAGATTAAAATATGGTTACAACAACATAATTTGGGATCGTTTTGCCAAAGGTGATGATAATGATTTCTCCAAAGTGAAGGAATGTGATGATAATGATATATTTATCTCTCCGAGGTGGAGGAAGTTGAGAAAGAAATTAGGCATTCTCAAGTACTGTCTATTCACCTAAGCACTTTCCTCTCTTTCGTGAAGAGATCTATCTCATCTAACGTTTTTTTTTAGTAAAAGAGCCAATAGTGAATACATCAAGGTAAAAAGTAAAAAAAAATTATAAAAAAGTGTTAATACCTAACTTTCATTAATAATGATATTTTACATTTTAGGGAAAAAAAAAACATTAAGGGGGTGTTATTAGATAAAAGCATTTGACTTAGTCAAGTAGTCTCTTATATATATAGTCATGTAATGAGAACAATGTGATTAACCTAGAGAGTTGTCACATTGAGCAACTCTCCTCTTTTCCATTTTATGAGATCAAATCTAAGTTTAAAAGATGTATAGTGTGTTGGAACTTATTTTCATTAGTTGCGCCGAACTAATTTTTTCGGGTAACTTTCAAAATTGAAGTTCGTTTGAATGAGAAATGGAGGTCCAAAGTAGCTAGCTTGGATAGCTTGAAATTTGACTAAAGGATTAAATGTTGCACTTCAGAAGTTAAAGGAAAAATCCAAACCAAGCATATGTGCCGAGCCGTTTTGTATCGTGTCGAGGTGGACCGGATTTGGGATTTGAGATTCGAGAAATGAGCTTATAACTTAAATAATAATTGTTATGTACCCAAATGTATATAAGTTATAATGTTAAAAGATTCAACATACATCTCTTTTAATTGTGAACTAGGATCGGACCCGCGGTCCACCGCGGGAGAATATTGATTTACATACGTTGATTTTAATATTGTGCGTGTTTTTAGTAGAACGAATCGTGTAATGTACTTATAAATATTCCTAATAAAAAATTGTAAAAAAAATATTAAATTGTTTATAATTAAACCAATCGTATTAATTATGATTTACAAAATGGAATTTTGTGTTTTAGAATTCAAAAATTAGACGAATCATGGGAATTAAAGCAGTCAAAATAGGTCAAAAACCGTGGGTCGAGCCCAAATCATCTCACTATAGGCCAGATTTGGGAAAATATATTAAACCCGCAAATAAGCGGGCCACATGGATTGATTCGCAGTGGGTCATCGGTTTTCGTCCGGGGGTTGGCGGATCAACCCGCATGATAGTATTTATTGATAAAAATATAATTTATTCAACATGTGGTAGTTTAAAAAACTTTTAATAAATGAAATTATAATATTTATAAATATAATGATATATAAGATTATTTTCTCTAAAAACATTTTAATTTATTTATTTTATTAGAATTTTAAATTTTGGTTACTCTAAAATTATTTAAACAAAATCCACGGATAACTCCGCAAATCAGCATACATTCGCGCGACGGGGTTGTGTTTCATATATGCTACCCGCGGGTCATGCAGACAGACTAACTACATGCCAAACTATATTTTGCCTATTGCAAAACAGGCTTAACGGGACGAATCAACTCGTTTTGACAGCTCTAATGGAAATATTATTTAGTCATACAACTCAATGGAGTTTGGACATAGGAATTATAGAATATGTATCTTATTTGTTAGATGGGAGATTGAAAGGTGAAATATAATGATTAAAAATAATTAATATTTTTCATGATTCACAAAATTTAATAAATATTTATCATTTTGTTGAATGATTCTAAAAATCATATTCAAGAAATCTTTATAATTTGAAAATTAAACTTCTTTGGTAAACTATAAGTATGATTGTATGAAAATACCATAATTTCGATTTAATCTAATTAAATTAAAATTAGTTACATAGATTTCATATCTATTTAATTTACACGACCAAAATAAAAATATCTATTTATTTAATTTATAAAATAGATGGGTTAGTTGTGATAAATTTTTTAGAAATCTCTAGAAGCAAGTAAGATATCTTTTAATTAATGATAACTGGCTAAAATAAGCAAAATTAATGAGAAAAACGTTAATTGTTATGGAATTAGTTCTAAAAGTATATGAACAAATATATTATACGTAATTAATGTATAATATTGTTCGGAATATGATTTTATAATTAGTTACCATAAGTACAATAAAATTTTATTTGATTTCCATAAACATTTGATTTTAGTTCAATTTTTCATTATTAATTCGAATTTATATTCCAAACTAATTTTAAAGATCCGATTTCAGAATTTCGGGTCAATTTTCTGATTTTGACCCGACCCATTTACATTTGTACTTCTCTTTTAATAGTATAGAGATTATGGAACAACAAATCAATTGATGAAAATAATAGAGTCAATGACTATCATTGAGAATATGACTTTTATGTTGATAATAATTCTAATTACTCCTTTTTATTTCTAATCTTGAGAGCTTGGATTATAAAACCAAGGTTTCATCTCTCCATTTTTATCTCATGGATATATGGACAGTGTCGTACTAAGGCTAATTATAGCTTAGGGCGTATAAAAAAATGTGGCATTTGTTATTAAAACATATATCAGAATAACGAAAATATTGTTTCAAAGCATACACAATAGTGATAAGATGAAAGAAAAGAAAATTTCTAAACTACTATTTTCTATCTTTTTCCTAAAAACTCATTCACCAAACTCACATAATCGAGTTGTCGAACCAATTCCCTCTCTATAGATATGATAGCCAAAGAATTTAAGTATTTAACCTTTCTTGTGATATATTTGATCGAAGGTAAGACGACACACGGTTACGGTAGTTTAACCCTACAACTAATTTTGCTTTTAATCTTTTTATTTATAGGTGGTCGATTGATAATTATTTGAAGAAGGAATACTCAAAATCAATTTCCTTTTTTTTTTTTTTTTTTTTCAAATTATCTTTTTCTTTTCAATAAGCCAATTATTCTTTTCTTGCATAGAAACTTGATTTTTTTTTTCAAGACATCATATATATTGTGAAACAAAAAAAATGTCTAAAACATCCTATAATATAAAACAGAGGGAATATCTTTTATTAAAATTATCTTCCATTAGTGTTATATTTATAATTTAAGTATTTTTAGTAATTAAAAAGTAAAAAATATATAATTATAAAGAGTTTTACCAAGAGATGCAACCTTAAATATTAGATATCCCAAAGATTACAGTGGCTCATAAAAAAAAAACTAAAAGTTAGAACGGTTCGTAAAATAAATTAAAAGTTGCAATGTTTCGTCAAATAAACTAAATGTTACAATGGTTAAATTAAACGGTTGCAAAAGTTAGTTTAAACATATTTTCATAGTTAAGCATTATTTTTTTTGATGATAAGTCATACCGAGAAGCATGATTATAGATAATGAAATATTACAAAATAAATAAAAATTTGCAATGGTTTGTCAAATAAACCAAATGTTATAACAGTTAAATTGATCTGTTGTAACAGTTAAATCAAATGGGTTTATTTCTTATTTTGGTAATTAAAAAATAAGAATACGAAGAGTTATGATAAAATGACGCAATTGGAATAAACATTTATTTTATTTGTTATTATTGTATAAATTACACGATTGGTTAAGAAATGAGCTCATGTTAGACAATCTACATTAGAATATTTTATTATGTAACAGAAATTATTTATCCCTAGTAATCATCTCACACTTTTTTTCTTCTTGTTATACGATTATAAAGAGTCGAGTCTTCGATAAATCAGGGAAAACAAAAGGTTTGTTGATTTATAGGATCTTCTATTATTTTATATTTACAAAAATAAAATTAGTTTTGGTGTTATCTGTGATCATTGTAATACTGCTTCCCTCCACTTCATGCCAATTTGAAGTTTGAACACATCGTTTATTGGCAAGTTTTAAGAAGTCTCACTGGAGTTTTGCTAATTACACGAGCAAGAGCAAATCCGTCCCTTGATTTAAAGAACATGGTTTGCAAAGATAAGATTTTTTTGTTGGTTATTATTATCTGTTAAGTTAAACAAGTACGTTCTCAGATTTATTTTATGTTTAATTCAAAGATGTTAGAATTTCTTTGTATGCTTAAAAATATTGTGTATGCTTAAATATGTCAAAGGTCGAAGGTTTGATTCTATTCACGGGTCTTACAATTTTAAAA